GCGAGAAGCGAGGGTTTGAAAATTGATGGGTGGGGTGGCAGGAATGGGGTGGTGCGCAGATAGAGTTGAGTCCGTAAAAGGTGCGAGGAGAATAGGTTGTTACGAGTAGGGGTGAAACGGATGGGGGAGAAGTGTGGAGTGAGGAGGGTTGGAGAGAAATATCTTAGCAAGGGGCTGAAACGCAGCGGCAGTTGCATGTGTAGGGAAAGCGGAAACAGAGAGGAGTAGAGTGATTCTCAGTCGGAAGCGATTTGATTTTCAGTTATTTCCTAGTTGTAGAAGTTGCGAAAGGCAAAACGAGGCATAGGCGAGTACAGTAGGTGAAATGCCACAAATATCTTGAGAATCGTTAATTGTGAGGCGACCAATGGGGTTACGACTATTCTGCCACGCTCCAACCAAAAATGATATTTCTTTCTTCCTCGGCCACCAAAAACGCCGATATTGCAATGTAGTCACTGCTTGGCCACCCAATATCCAATAACGCCTCTCGATGGGGAATTGGCAACACCGAAAACCCCATCTGTACCTCACCTTCTATGGCAGGTGGTGGCCATCGATATCCGAGGTCGCGATAGTCCCGTTAGGAACGGCCCGTTCCTAACGAAGAGTTGGAACGCTTCGTCTAGGTTCCATCTGCCCTACATGTTGCACATGTGTGCATGTTCCAGACAGCGCGACATGGCGCCCTGTGCCCGTCCACTTCTTCCCGCCGCCCCCCTCCCCTTTCCCCCTCCTCGCTGGCACCGCTCCCATTCACCACCGCAGGGGCATTTGCTGTTTACCCTAACGCGTCCCTGGTACACAGTACCAAGGGTACGAGTACGATTACCCAGTACTACATGATTCGCAACAATAGTCATTGAATAAAGAGATCTCTTGAATAAAGCATACCATGATACACAAATACTACCCCAGATTGCCCACACTGCAACCATGGTCCAGTACAGTACCCTTGCGCCGGCGACTTGAGTTTTTTTTTTTTTTCGTTTTGGAAAATATCACAATGAAGACTATTTCCCCCCGACACCTGTAACATGTCACGATCACAGCGAAATGGTGCCGCCGCCTCCTCCTCAAGGCTCCCGGGGTGAACCGGACTACACTCTATCGTGTTGATCGCCCACTGAGATTCGCCACTACTTGATGCCTTTCTTAACCTGTTCGTTATTTCCTCACGCTGGCTGCCTACTCGTTTCGCCAAATCCTCATGCGTGTGAGCCTTGTGAAAAACGAATCGCGCTGCACATATTCAGGGGTTGAAGGATGACCCTGGCACGTACAACTTCGAGGCGACAGGCACTTCAAAGAAGTACTGGATTTTTCCCTTTTTTATTTGTATATATGTATATATATGTATATGTACGCTGCTGTTGGGAACGAGAAAGTCCGTCTGCAAACAAGTGTGGGGAGGTCTCCCTCTGCCTTACAATAAAACTCAACTGCCGTACCGGAAAGAGGAGTCTTGTTCTCTATTGGCGCTTGTAAGCTATTCTATAACCCATCATGGTGCGGTTGCAAGTTTTGGAACCATGA